ATTTATGTACAAAGGTGTGCAATTTGACCCACCCGTTTGGCAACCAGTAGTACATATGCAGGAAATTTATTTGATAGTATCGTCTGGTATTAAACTGTCCATAGTATAGATTAGTTCGTCTCCACCCGTACTTTGATAACTGGCAATATACCCGTAATATTAGTTGCTTACCAATCTTTATCTGGCTCCTACTGGTCGCAGAGGGTTTTTCAAATATACGTTTTTCAACCACCTATCTAAATCAACTTGTTAAAATAAATTATATTAGAAAATAACGGAATTATTGTAAATGCTTATAACTATAGAAATGGCTATTTTTAACATCATTTTTAACAACAATTTTGAAATAAATAATCATGTTTTTGCATAAGTTCTTAACGTTGAAACCTTAGAGAGAGAAGTAGAATCAATTTCACTTTTGCAAAATGTTCTAGGACCATATTTTGGGCAAGAACTGTTGTTTAACTAATTCGTCTGTGGGATAAAGAATTAGTGTTTTACATAAACTATTAAGCAGAACCGGTAGAAATTTAGCACCCTTATTAACACCAATGGTGCCCCCACTCTCACAAATGTTTGGCCATTTACAGTTGTAAAAACACACTGAAAGACTTTTTATGCTCTAAAACCTCCAGTTTGCCAATTATCTATAAAATTTGATTTGAAAATTATAGAGGCAAAATACTGGTTTTTGGCTTTTTGCATTCTTTATAAAAAATAGGATTCTTGTTGTATTTGTCATTTAAAACTTTCAGATATCTGCTAAACTTTTTTCACCTATTTTTTATTCAGCCTGGACTATGATGATAATATTTCGTAAGAAGTGCAACGTCGTCCAGATATTTTTAATACTATTAAGTGTCATATTTAAGTTGCTCATCAGCATATAGGACTGTATTCAAAGATAGTGGAAGAGGCAGCGTTCAAATAAATGGGAGCGACGAAGGTGGAGACGTCGCCCAACTAGCAATTTTGGTGAAGCGTTCATTAGATACAGCAATGAGCGAAAATTAACATTTTCTACTCATCCCCGCCATATACTGCGGCTATCAAACCGATTTAATAGATATGGGGTTGATATATAGGGCTACGTTAATCAGTAAAGCCGGAGCTACATACATGAATAACATTAATGTGACAAAATGCTATGAAACTTACGTCTTAAGGCACCAGAAAATGTTTTTTCTTAAATAACTGTTAACATTTAGAAGATTTTTGAACAAGATTACTACTATGTTGAGTCTCCATAAAACATGCTCCACTATTTTCGTTGAGTAGAAATGAACTAGCCCTAACGCACTCTAGCTAGTTTCTTCATGTTTTGTAAAATATCGGCCATAAGTAATATCGCTTGTGAGCTTTTTTACGATTGATTAAATAATTTTTGAGGCAGCTTTTGGTTTGATAGCGCGCTGATCTGTTAAAAGTGGTCCTTTTTGCATAAGATTATGAAAAATCCGAATCAGAGTATTTTTCCGTACAGATGAGAAGATACATACTACCTACTTACACCAGACAAAAGCTCGCAGAGCTTCACTTCAAGCCCTTTTTAAACAAAAGGCAGTTGTCAACCCCCCACGGTGTACATACTCGTACATTGGGTATGTTCTTGTTAGCGGTCCGGTATGGCGTCAGCACGACGGTACGTCAGTAACAAATTGCCTGCTCTCCTGCGGGAAGAATAAAGATGGGAATGGGAGGCCGAGCGGCGATAGTATGGCACAGAAAAGCGGTTGCGGTGAATAGGAAATGGCAAGGTCGTAGCAACCCAGGAGGCGGGAGGAAGTTTAAAGAGGTGTATGCTGGATGCCAAAGTGTTTTTACTGCCTACTGTCGAGGAAGTATTGTAATGGTATAAGAATTGTGGAAAAGTGGAGTGTTATGTATCTTTTGATCTTACATGACAGGTACATCTCGCACAACCATATCACGTATTTCCCTCACTCTATCGGTCTGTTTACTGATTCTAGGTCCCACTATAACTTGAAAAGACTTGCTCGGCTTTTGATGAAATTTTGACGAAAGATTTCAACTATACCAAGGATGAAAATACTTTGTAGTTCTTCGTTCAAACATCCTGTAATTTAAGGACATATGCTTAATCACAAGACAAAATTACATATACTTTCATAGAATATGATGTTGAGAATGTTTGAGAGAAAGACTTGTTTCTTACACCATGACTAATTTCTTACAAAAAAGCTTTTTAACATACGCGATATTTACGGACCACCTAAACACACGAACCGTTTCAGACACGGAAACGTCTCTACGTGAATGCGGATTATTTTAAAATAGTTTTGCTTAATTCAAACCGTTTTTAAGAAACGCGGTAACGCAGGAAATGGCACAAAAATCTTTGGACATTTCAGAGTCAACAATCTATTACATCTGTTGAATTAATTTTTGGTAAAGTTGCACAAAACTCAAAAAAATATGGTCTACTAACTCTAACACATCGTTCATGTTCTTTTTTTTACTTCCCGGCGTAAGCGGAAAAAGTATTATTTACCGTTAGCGCTAATTATCTTGTTTATACTTTCCCATACTGTTCTGAATGTAATGCAGTTTTCATGTAAGTATCGATTCAGTACGCGAAAATGTTTTTGGGTTAAGATTTAAACGAATTAAAACTTGAAACATATATACAAGAAATCATGAAGCAAAATATACTTTCTTATAGTCTAGTGTACCGACTCGTCACCTTCTACGTATGTGTCTTTCAATTGGGACTGGATGTATGGTGGCCTTTAAGCGACGACTTCTTAAAGGAAAAGTCTTCTGAGCTGGATTTAAGTAACCTAATAAGACCACAAGCAGTAACTTTGAAACAGAAAGTACAATATTGGTTTAACTTGAGATGCAGTCATATGTATTCCGTTTACACATCGTAGGAAGATGAAAAAATTGTATGTCATTCTATAGGCGCTGTATTTTAAGAAATTCAAGGAAATTCGTAAGGATTCTAATATAAAATAAATGAGTAGCTGGTAAATCAATTTACAAGAACGAATAGCTAATACAGCAAAATAATTTTGAGGAACATGATTAATGGAAAATAAAGCGTCAAATTAAAGTTTATTCCTTCATCTCTCAAGATTCGGTTGAAAAATATTGAAAAGGTGTCCAATACTACTAGCTTAAATATATTTACCGAAAATTATTTTAATTGTCAAAAAATTTCCTTTTTTTGTCAAATGGACTTATTTATTAGGAAGAATGTGTAGAACATTATTTTTACATCTCCCAGCCGTATCTATTCTGAGAGTCGAAGGAATAGATTATAAATCAACACCTTACTTTCCAGTGTTAATCATGTTCTTCGTAATTATTCTGCTTTATTAGTTTTTTTCTTTTTGGTGGATGTATAACCTATTTTTTTTAACGTGTCACCTCACCAATGTTAGCCCATTATTTTCTTGAATCTCGGCATCTACAGAATAACCCGTATTTTATCTGTTATTTTTTATCATTCTGATACTCTATGTAAACGGAATTCATATGTCCGGATCTCCTACTAGGTGCTTAAAGGTAATTTTTGAATATTCCATTAATGTCAGCAAATCCTGTGACACTGTGTTCAAAATTCCATAATTGTAAAATAGCTGCCAATCTCTACCAATACCACCTACGCCAGGGAATATGCCGCCAAAAGGCGCAACTCGCTCTGGTGCAGCATTACTGTCGCTTTTGGGCGTTTGTGACGCATATCCCATCAGCACTAATTGGTTTTGCCGCGGTGATCCAATGAACAGTTCTAATTGCTGATATATCGCGACATTTTGCACCAAACAGTAGGTACGATCAAATATGGGGTTATTTTGATGGTGTACATTCAGGCAAATTAAATGAAAAAATGTACAATACCTAATTTTCGTTCAGGAAGCAAAAACGGTAAAATGATTTACGAGGGTTGAACCCTATGCTGCCTGACTTCTTTGCAGGTGCTTGTTTGTTCAATGTTGTTGACAGTGAAGCACGTGATCGTATTAAGGTACCGAAACAAAATATTAGTATATGTTTATATATTGGAGTTATGTGCTTTTTCGACCAAGTGTGGCAAAAGTTTTACCAGAAGTGGTTTCTGTTGAGCACAGAGACGTAATAAAATACCTGCAAGGGAAGTGTATGGTGCCCACAAAATCCTTTTTTACTGTTGGAATGGACATGTTTCCTTCCCGTGTATGTAACCATAATCAACTGCTGAAAGTGCTGTTTCGTGCTCAACAACTCATCAGCGCAGGATAGGTTTAGTAGTCCTGGAGACAAACGAACGGAAAGCAAACAAGTGTGAATAGTCTTTCGAGAAACTAAAAAAAAAACTGAGCGGAAGAAGGTGCAAAATTTGAAGATACTAGTATATCGACTGATAAATGGGAGGACCTTTATAGTGGTGCGACATCCATCTGTGCATTGCGCAGAACGACAGTTCAGTAATGAGTCAGGTGCGTAGGAGGCTGAGGATGAAAATTGGCTTTACAGAGCATTTCTTTATGATATAGTCGGACGTTGGTATAGGGAGCTTAAGTGCGGAACACTGATGACTGCCCAAAATATTAAAACAGTGCATAGTGTGGTATTACAATATGGCCATATATCATTAACTTACTCTCAAAATTGCTATATCCTCTTAAAGAGAAGCGTGGGTAGAAGTAAACAAGTGGCACAGTGTTTCATCAGAGCAGGCTCTGATTTGCTAGATTACTCACCGTATGCGCCAGACCTGTCGCAGAGAAGTGGATGTCAGCAGTCGGACAACGTGTCTACCGGGAAAAAATGCTGGGGCACCGTTCAATCGTTAGCATTGTGTGAAAAAATATAAATCGAATGTAGTTTTAGTGCGGAAGGGGTAGAGGATATGATTCAACCATTCTATGGAGCGGCCACTTGAGACAGGGTTCGGTCGTATACATTTTCTCTAGCTTAAAAGATGTTTTAGATGAAATCAACTAAGCTCATTACTTCAAAAATATTTTCTGATTGGTCAGTTTTGACGCGAGGATCAATTGAGTAGCAGATCTGATTCGCGGGTCAATAGTTAAATCGGACCTAGAAAATGCATTAATAACAGAACTGTCCCATTAATCGATAAGTGTTTAGGAGCTAAATATACACTCACGGCTTCACAACAGTCTAGATCCAATAGATACACTGCACATCGTTCACATTTGAGGAGTCCTTGAGCTTCACGCATAATCTTAGATACCAGGCACTCCAGGTTATTCTGTTCTTCGAATATACTCCGAGCAAGGTTCAGGAGGATCTGGAAACGATAGAATCAATCAGAAAAAGTTTCAAGTTTTGTGTGAATCCAGCATAAGACTAAATGAAGAATGTGACTGATAATACCGACGGGAATATGAAAAAACGTATTCATTTGAGTAAAAAGAGTAAAACAGAAATATCAAAACAACAATATGATAGCATTCTCCAATTCTAGCAGAATTCATCGGCAGATGTTGAACGGCGCTTCCAACATTTATTTGACACTAAATATGTGATTTGATCAATTTTCTGAATACTATTTTTCGACTTATTCTTCTCAAATCTTATAAGGGCCCAATGATCATCAACCTTCTATGTTATTGAGTCTTAAAATGTACAATCTGCATAAGTCTTGTATGGGGTTTGTTTCTATTTGGAATTGGTGCAAAATACAGTGGTGTGGATGGACCTCATCTGTAGCCATATATGCTCTAACGTCTATCTTTAGATTCTAACAGGAACCGTTCTCGTTGCATTCCTTGTTCAAAACCAGCATGTCTACATCAAGTGGTAGAAAGAGTGAGCCAGCTATCTGTTAAATCTGGTGTGTGCCTATCGTAAAATGTTGATACTAGAACTTATAGAACTTTTCAGTACACCTAATAGTTTGGGCTCAATTTAGGAATACCTTTGCAGTGGGAGTTTTGGAATCTGAACGATGGATGTCTGTATCCAAAATATTTCTCTATATTTTGCTAATTTAACTAGTGGGGGATATAAACACTTATACGAATACCATAGGACAATCTGTTTTTATTGAATTTTGTTGGTCCTTCGATGAGTACAGATTTTCTTCTGTAATTCAATCGCATCTGTTCGGCTTCTACTTGACGACGAAATTCTACTCTGAAAAGTGAGGTGCTGAGAATCTTTCGTTACGTATAAGTCATAAGCGCGATTTTCAGAGGAAGACGAAACCTCAAAATGTTGTTGTTCTTGCAATTTTAGGATGTTAAGAAGATTATTTGAGGCGCTAGAAAATATCAGTAGGTTAATAAAATGATGAATATATTATGGTTATTTTCGTCGGTATACTCTGCTGCCTGTCAGTCTGTCTGTCTGTCGGTTAGTCTGCTACTCCTTGGTTTTGCCTATAACTTGGAAAGTGCCGCTTGAGCTTTAATGAAATTTTCACACTAGTACGCCTAGGACGAAAACGCTTGAACATTGGTCCTGCGGCGTGTGAGTTAGGAGAAAAAAATGGAGGAATCAAAGTTGCTCCAATTTCGTTTTCTGATGGTTCAGATGGTCCTGATCATTCTCAGAAAGAAATTTCTGGCTGTTGAAAGTTCGGGATTGTAGTGAAGAGAGAGGGCATACCTCAATTTTTTCACATTAGTATACTTATACGCTCCAACCCCGTCAATTATGCGCACCTATTACATATATTTGATGCATCAGAGATCTTCCCGTGCATTTGCCCTTTAAAACTTGATGATGCTAGAAAAATATTTTAAAAGACGCGTCTCTGGCTACGTTCAACATGATTTGGACGATGGGTGTCTGAGTCTCGCATTCCGCAGTGTCTGTCGTACGTTCTCGGGGGACTGAGGGGCAATCACCACGAAAAGATAATGGAAGTGTACCTGCCTCCAAAGCTTTTTGAATAGCAGGGATTAGCTGCATTTCTCAAGGGAGAACCAAATACAAGAGATCTCCATAATTGTACACAAAATCAGCAAATTTCAATTGTATGACCCTGTTTGTGTGGCTACATTGTGTCTAACATAAATTTATGAACTGATGACAGTGTTGCGTAGGAAGTCTATAGTCCATCTGCTTGACGCCATTTTTAATAATTCATTCTCTTAAATAAATCAAAATAAAACATGAAAGACAATGACTGCTATAGCAACCACTATCACTTTGAGGTAATGCTTTCAGGTTTCAACTTTTGTTTCAGTGGGGTTCAGTTGTGCAGAAAATTCTCTATGAAGTGATGACAGCATTGCGTGAGAAGTGGAGAGTCAGCCTACTTGTCGCCACGTTTTGTTTTCCAAGGGCTAAATAAATTATCCGGTTAAAGTAGAAGGAATGGCGAATATTTTATGATAAGAGATTTTATGGTTGATTGCGTTTCAGATAGTCTACCATTTTCATGAACGAAGTCACAAGCTGGGCTGTAGAATTGAGTTTTAGAAATATCATCCATGAATATGCATGTGGGTTATAATTTACTTCGTAGTGGGACGTGACGTATGCAAATGAGTACTCGTTATTCATGTCCGTACTTTTCTTTGATGCGGAATGTACAACTTTGCTCACATATTGTTTATGAGATTTTATGTGAATCCCCGTTTGGCAATAACGTCGGCCGTGCTATAATGAAGGTCAATGTCATTTTAAGGTCAAATTGATTTTTTTAGATGGAACACTATACCGGAAATCGAAAGAGAGAATAATTCTAAGTTTGGATGTATCATTGATTATGACCTCGACGATGACTTATATGGTCATATCAGAGTCGTCAAAGCGATTTTCTCTGATCGGACCCTATGATTTTGACTCCGGAGTTAGAAAGAAACAAACAAGAAAAAATTCAAAGTATAAGTATGACCTTCAAGAAGGTTTCAAGGTCAATGCGATTTTCCTAAATGGCCCCTACACTTTTGACCGCGGAAATCGTAACAAGGGAATATTCTAAATTTCTCGACCTTGCACTAGAAGATCATTCAAGGTGAAAGCGATTTCCTCAAATGGGAACCTATACCTTAGTTCCTAGAAAATGGAAGAGGAGAGAATTTTAAGTTTGGATGCCCTTGACCTTGGAGGTAATTTCAGGAACAACTAATTCTATATTCTTCAATAGGATCCCATACTTTTGTAAATCAAAAGAAGCGAAATTTTTTGTTTGGATACGTCCTTGACAGCGACCTTAAAGGTTATTCCAAGATCAGTGTCAAAAGTGTTGGCTGACCTCAAAATGACCTTCAAGGTCAAGGAAATATCCAAACTTTTCCGGGATCAAAACTATAGGCATTTAAGGCAATTTGATTTTGAAAGGCTTTTAAGGTCAAATTGTCAAAGTTATTGCCAAGATCACTATTAGATTACTAAAGCAAAATCCTACAACTCTTGTCTTAGTCATTGTTTCTAGGGTCAATAGTTTCTGAGATCCGGGTAGAGTGGCGGGAACTCTTGGAACAACCTGTATATAGATCATGAAAAAATAATGCCACAAGTACTTATAGAAAAAATATCATATGGAGCTCCCCTACGTAGATACAGACCTCTAAACTTCGCTACTGGAAACCGATTTTTCTTGACCGCGTAGTAACCTGTTGTCACCGGTGTTTATTAAGAACAGTTAGCTCATTTAGATCGCCACAGACGAACCCTGAGGCAATATTGCTGACTTTCTGACTTTTTTACGCCTTGTACATATATTACTGATTTATAGACGGCACTTTTGGACAGCCTTTAGCTGAAGCAATTACGTTTTTGTTTAATTTCGATAGAATGAGCCGTTTTTGAGAAACACTCACGTGTTTCAATATCGTCCGTATCGATCTACACAGCTACTCCATCCTGGGGTTATCCGGGTTGCTAGTTATGAATCCTTTATCAGAAATACTATATTTTCGGTGCAGAAGTTTATAGAACTGCACTGAAACAAGAATGGTTTTCTCAATCAAGGTTTATTTTGCCGATGTCCAACAAGAGTACATTTAATCAACTCAAACAGCACGGTTTCCAAAAATGTTATCGTTGGTTGGGCCATTATTATACAGTGCAGGATTTTTTAACGATATTGTGTTGGTGTTAGTTCATCACTGGCGATCTGTGCGCTACTTTCTATGAACATTATCGTGTGAGACCTCACCTAGTTGCTAAGCTTTCAAAATTGCTGTAAATTCTGAGCACCTCAGAAGCTAATATAAAAGTTGGAGAGGTATACGAAAATTTTACAAAATTTTTAAATTTTGGTAGGTTTTATTGTGTCACTTTTAAGAAACTGTGTTTACGGAAAAATCTAAATATGTGTTTATCATTTCACTTAAATTACCTGATTTCTTTTGTACTCCAAAACGGACACTTCAAATAACTGGGCATTTTGTACACCGATCCCGCAGAAGGTAAGGTACCGTTGGAAGAGTTCTGCATCATGAGCATCGAACTCGCCAGAAGGTCTCTTGTTGATGATCTGGGCGACTCCGATTACGTCGCCCTCATAGTTACAGATCGGCATGCAGAGGACTGCATTGGCACGGTAATCCATGCGCACGTCGATTTCGGAGTTGAAACGGTGATCCTGGAACAAAATAAACTTTGATTATCAGAGAGTAACCGAGATAGATAGTTAGAAATTGCATATTGCTCACCAGCGCTAAATCTTTGAAAACACTATATCTTTAGTTTGTTGGGTCCAAGTCGGAATATTGTTCATCAGCTTGGAACCCTTATTACATTTACCAAAAGCAGATGGTACAGAAGGTGCAACCTCATTTTCTGAAATCCTATTTCAAAGTTCAGGAAGCGTATCCTGAGGGGTATCAGTGAACAGCTTCTATCCATAAAGTTCAACATGAATTACTTGGCTTTGAGAAGAACCATGAATTTTGGTATAATTTCTTCACAAGCTCCTTCAGCTATATTTCAAATTTATTTTCACCTTACGTCAGTTATGTTGCGCTCATCTGCTGCTACGCGCCTTTGCACGTACCTGCCAAAAATGTCAATGCTATCGTAGACAATTGCGATATGCATTCTGATTCTTTAGGTATTATTCTACTCCGTACTACTAATAATACCTGATATTCTTTTTGTATTGATTTCTATATTTAGGTATACTTTTGTACATATTTTTCTCCAGTTTGTAATGTTTATATGTTGTAAATTATGGTATTATGGTATTTTTCTTTTTTTTTCATTTCACTGTTCAGTTACGTATATATTTCTGATATTTATCCTTCTCTGTACAAGTTGTCGTATGATGGGAAGTACACCAATTAAATTCATAGAGAAAGTTGGAAGGAACCTGAAAGAAGGGAAAGAATGACAGCAAAGAGGAGGCAGTGTATCGGCTGGAGAGATGATTTAGCATTGTCAACTAAGATTCCGAAATGATAATTTAGTCTAGATGATAATTTCTTTTGAAGCCTGCTGATGGAGGATTCTAATTTTGTAGCTCCTGAATTTGCACATTTTGAGTTTGGTCGCAGTCTAAGACATAAGCTACTGAGCTTGTAAACTGCGTCATCTATTAGCTCACAGTTGGTTTTATACTATAGCTGGAATGAAACGCTACGGTGCATAGTGAGGTATTAGTATTCTAATAATCTGTGTTGATGGTATAATTTTTGGTTACGATTAGTTAGGATATCCAGCAATATCACAGCTATAAAATTCAATACTATATAGCCGAAGTTTGTTGTTCAAGTCTTGTTTTGCGATTTTGACAAGAGGTCTGGTCATGTTATAACGCACGTACTACTTGCTGTATTCACGGAGAGGGATGGTTGCGTTCGTTTTGCAAATGAAGTGAGATAGTTCCCAGAGAGATAAGGCTGTCAAGTCAGTGAATGTCTGGCTGACTTCACCGCTCAAAAAGAACTGCTAAGCTAATCTCAACAGACAAATGTGCATCATCTGCCATTAATTGTCAATTTTTTTGCATCCGGAGAAATTTCTGTATTTTGGCAAGAAAGAAGGCAGTATTATGGAAGCTGAACCCGAGGGGTCCCCAGGCGACCCCTCTACTGCTTTGAGTGGAGTTGGCGCGGAGTGCAGCGCTACTTTGGAACATATTCCAGAAAACCGAAATGAGACAACGCCAATGATGACATCAGGGATGACACCGATACTGGAGAGGGAAAAACGAGAACCATAGACTTTTGAAGATAATTGCAGACCAAGCAGCCCAGATTCAGAGACTGACTTACTGTGTGGAGTCACTTAATGCCCAGGTTTTTAAGCTCACAAGTGTCATTAATAAATCAGTTCCCAATTTTTGCTTCTTCCATAACAGCAAAACGCAGACACAACAGTCATTCGAGTGACCTACATTCTGAGACCGATGAGGACACACAGGGTGATTCTTTTCACACCTGTGCGACGTCGCAAAGTGAGACTGCGCAAAACAGAATTTCGTCCGCTACCGACGAAATGCCCAAATAACAAACATTCAGGAAACCTAAAACCGTCTGCGTTTGTACCCTCTACCGCTTCTACTAGTCAGCCAAGGGAAAGACCTTTATCAGCATCAACACAGAGTGCTCCTCCTGTTATACCCCAAGTGCAGTCTGATCCATTGGCTAACTGCAACTCATCTTCCTTGCCATCCAGCGGATCTCTAAACACACAAGCCCAATCGCCTCCCCAGGGACGTATTACTACAATCGTGTTGAGAGATGCGACAAAATGACGCACCTTAAACTATTCCTTTGTAAGTCTTGGTATTCGTATTGAACAAGCGGTCGCCGTTGACGCTGGGATACGTATCATCCCCAAAACCGAAGACGATTATCGCAGGATAATCCGTCTTTTCAAAGAGGAAAACATTCCTCATCACACGTTCCCTTTGCCCACTGAACGCAACATCCATGCGGTTATCAGAGGTATCCCAGCGTCAACCAGCGAATAGGAGCTCAAAGATGAGCTAGAACAGAAGGGTTACGCTCCCTTTCACATAATTCGCCTAAAGCCCAACGGCGGCGTGCCCATGCCCTTGGTGGAGGTGATCCTGCCTAAGATGGGGAAGTCACAGCAAGTGTTCAACGAGCACGAATTGCTGGGGCTCTCTATCAGAGTCGAAGTTCAGAAGAACTCTCGACTCATTGGGCAGTGTCACCGCTGCCAGAAGTATGGACACGCACAGTCGTATTGCACTGCGCCGCCAAAGAGTATAAAATGTGCCCAAGACCACATGACACATATGTGCCCTCAAACAGGACAAGAGGTGCGCAGATGTGCGGACTGTGGGGCGGATCGTCCGGCAAATAGTCCTACCTGAAGATTTACTCCTAGGAGAAATCTACAAGTCATCGCACAAAGGCGAGCAAAGTCATACGCAGACGCAAAATGAGATGACACCTCAACTGCCCCTGCTGTTTCGAGCTCATCTATGACTACTCAAAATGTGGACCTAGCAACAGCGCTTAGGTCCCTACAGCAGATTATTAGTCCCCTGATAAACGCCACTCAGGCATTGCAGGCGATCTTTCCGCTAAATGGCTAGGTGCAATAGCAGACAGCCTGCATTCATCAAAATTCTTTTCTGGAATTGGTTGGGCCTTAGGGATGTCCCCAAAAAACGGGAATTTCATCAAGCTCTTTTGGATGAAAGCGTAGATGTGGCTCTGCTGCAGGAAACATTGCTTAATCCGGGAGATCGTCTAGCTTTCCCGAATTATCATGTTATCCGCACTGATAGATTAACTGGACGGGGTGGCGGTTTGGCGGCGATAGTAAAACGTGGTATTGACTATCACAGAAGCACAAACGCTGAGATGCAGAGCATCGAGGCAGCTTCCATGGTAGTGAATATGACGGGAGGTATCTCGTTGAAAATCACATCGGTTTATGTCAGATGTGGTGTCAGGGTGCAAGAGACGGATCTGGAGGTCCTGTTTGACTGCTCGGGTCCGCTTATTGTAGCAGGGGACTTCAACTGTAAATATTGAACATGGCACTCTAGGTTAAATTCCACCAGTGGGATTCGACTTCACAACCATGTGATATGAAACAGCTACCTCATACACACTGAGGAGCCGACTCACCATCCATTTAATCACCTTCAGGCACCAGATGTCATTGACTTCGCGATATCTAGAAACTGTAGATACAGTGTCACTTCTCGAATCATGTATGACATTTCGAGCGATCATCTTCCTATCGTAGTGGAAGTGGGTAATGAGCAAACCTTGGAAGGGGAAACTCTTCCGAGGAAAAGGGTTGATTGGGAGCTATACAAGCCGCTCCTTAGAGAGTTCCCCAATATCCCGATCATATAGACGGAGAGGCTACATAGGGCAACGGGTCACTCGGTAAAGTCTAAATTTTGTCAGTTACAGGCTCGACTGTTACCGACATAGCAAGGGGCAGGCCGTCAGAAGTCAGCCTGGAAGTAATAAGGGGGTGGGGGGTTAAACATGCAATTTTTTATGAAAATTTTTTGATTAGGTACAGAGCTGAAAATTTGCACCAACATAGGAGATGGTATTGGAAAGTATGGAAAAAATTGTCAGAAGCCTAGGTGAAAGATAAAGGGCCGCCAGAAGTCACCAATGTTGCGAAAAATTTCGCCAAAATTTTGTCCCTAGGTTCACTTCTGACATTTTGCGTACTTACTCTATAATTCAAATTGAAATTACTTGCAAATCGTCAGAAGTCTAGGTGGAAGAATAACGGACAATCAACAGTAAGAGTGTCGTTTTTTTAAATCAAGTTCATTTCTGACGATTTGTGAACATAATATGTATATAATGTTTCAACATACTATTGCTCAGCTGTCAGAAGTAAATTCGGAAGACATTTCGAAGTATTAATAAATTAGTTATTCAAAAAATGAAAAAATATGATTAATTTTATTCAAAAATGAATTTAAATATTTATATTAGACGCTAGATATTAAATTCACCCACATCAAGAATTCATACCCCGCCATTGATAACACGAATACCGGTGGTTGAGTGATGTTCACGTGAACATTGATGAGTTTTTACAGTTTTTGTTAGCTATGCCGCGTTATTTTTGTTGCAAAGAAGAGTGAAATATTTTGGAGGAATGTGGGCAATGGGTATGAGAGGCAGTTTAGCTTGAGATTTAGAAGCGCATAGATTGTTAGCATGTATTCATCATAAAATATATTTGCGTTTCTATATTGAGACAGTATATTGACAATATAAGATATACAAAATGAATTCAAACACATTCTGCGTGTTTCAATGTAAAGAAGTGCCTGATAAAATATTAATTTTCACTGAAGAAAAATTAAGACAATGCAATGAGAAGCTATGCGTTCGTGAAGCATTGCACATGAAACACGGTGATATTGATCTTCCTGAACACGTTAATGAAACTCATGGATACCATTCAATTTGTTGTCAGAATTTCTTGGCAATATAAAATAATATATAGAAGATATGAGTTGAAAAGATCAGAAGAAAATAATACCTCACCGGCATCTTTTGCGAGTGTCTCAGGTAAATTGAATTCTTCCAGTATAACTTCAAATATACACCGTAGTCATCGTTACTAATTCAAAAATATAATTTTTTAAATTATCAAGGCTGTCAATATCATCGACTCTGAATGGAGAGGAAAGTTTATCCGTTGGAGAACCGCAATCATCGGCTGTAGGAGAATTAATTAATGAAGCACGTAGCAGCTGCATCGTGGAACGTCCACTCTCTCCAATGTCCGTTGACAAGCAGGAAGCAAGTGGTATCCAAGATGACTTCAACAGGTTTTGTTTTTTTTTGCAATAAGACTCGTAAAACTGCGAATTATCCTGCGTTATCGTTACATAATTGCACAAACGCAGATTCATTAAAAAATGATATTTTAGTCAACGCTGCTGGCTTGAAAGATTATAAAATGGAGAATAAAGTCGTTAGGAAGTAACAGATACCATACATTACCTTAATCCATGTAAAACTTTATATTTAAAAAAGTACCTCAATGTTTTTTATAATTATTAATTAATAATTCGAAATGTCTTCCGAATTTACTTCTGGCAGTTGAGCAATAGTATGTTGAAACATTATAAATTATGTTCACAAATCGTCAGAAATGAACCTGATTAAAAAAAACGAGTTATATGATAGTCTGAGTGGAGCTCCGACACTCTTACTGTAGATAATATCTCCGTTATTCTTCCACTTAGACTTCTGACGATTTGCAAGTAATTTCAATTTGGATTATAGAGTAAGTACGCAAAATGTCAGAAGTGTACCTAGTGACAAAATTTTGGCGAAATTTTTTGCAACATTGGTGACTTCTGACGGCCCTTTGTCTTCCGCCTAGGCTTTTGAATTTTTTTCCATACTTTCTAATACCATCTCCTATGCTGGTGCAAATTTTCAGCTCTGTACCTAATCAAAAAATTTTGATAAAAAAATTGCATGTTTAACCCCCTACCCTCACTTATTACTTCCAGGCTGACTTCTGACGGCCTGCCCCTTGCTATGTCGGTAACAGCCGAGGCTGTAACTGACAAAATTCAGACTTTACCGAGTGACCCGTTGCCCTCTGTAGCCAGCTCTTAGACTAATAGATGATGAGAACGATATAGATGCTGCTCAAGCGGAGTTGACAACGTCCGTTTAGCAGCGAGCAGCTGCACTACCAGTACAACGACACGGCAGACCTTTTCTCCCTGCAGACATTCTGACAAAAGAGCTGCAATTAAGCAAGCGAAGAGGTCTTGTCACCCAGATGACATTCACAGAGCAACGAATCTTGTTCATGAAGTGAGAAATGCTCTTCATGAATTCCGTAATGAGCAATGGAGCAACTTTCTGTCGGGGATGCTTGACTCAAGTATTCCTCTCTGGAAAGTTGCAAAATCGCTCAGAAACGGAAAACGAGAACAACTCCCGCACATCCACGGTCCTAGGGGCATAGTCTGTAGGACAGATAAAAAGGTCGAGGTTTTCGCTGATGCAATGGAAAGTCAGTTCTCTCTCAACTATGACCTTGATAATGACCTCGACGAGGAGCAACATATTGTAAGGTCCGTCAGGAGATATTTTAGGGCCAACGGCGTCAGTGGCAGTAGTGCCTCCCTTAGAGATTTTTCCTCAGAGGAATCTTCAGAAGATTCCTCAACTGAAGAGCTGCATGGCACATTAGCGGAATCTCCTGAGACACCGCATTCCACACCAGCAGAGCTCCAAGGTCATATTAAAGACCTCAAGGAGCGTAAAGCACCTGGAGAGGATCGAAGACACTAATAAGGCGCTGAAGCTGCTATCGCGGAAGTCCTTAACTTATCTCGTGGCAATAATCAATGCCATGCACTTCCCAACGGCGTGGAAGACCGCTGATGTCATAATGATCCCAAAGAAGGTGGGTTCGATATTTCCCCAGAATTATCGCCCCATGAGTCTACCGTTAGCTCCTTCTAAGCTCGCTGAAAAGGTGATTCTACGTCACCTTGAAAATTTCTCGGCAGACCACAATGTGATTCCTGACGTGCAATTTGGCTTTCGGTCTGAGCATAGTACGGAGCTACAGGCCATAAGGCTTGTTGAACGAGTAACCAGGGGGTTCACCCGTAACGAAAGTACTGGCATCTTGCTGCTGGATGTCTCAAAGGCATTTGACAAAGTGTGGTACAAGGGCCTTCTCTACAAATTGATCCATAAGGGCTTCCCGTTCTGGTTCCTAAAACCTTTGAAGTCCTTCGTCGAGGGTAGGAAATTCTGGATCAAAATTAAAAACGTTCTGTCGACTACACGGCCCATCAAAGCCGGTGTGCCTCATGGTTCGGTTCTTGGACCAGTCCTTTATTCACTTTTTATTTATGACGTCCCTTGCCCCAGCAACTGTGAAATCTATCTCTATGCTGATGACACTACCCTGGTGGCCCAGTCGTGCTCTGGGGATCTAGTTCACGATAGGCTGCAAAGGACGAGGTATTGGAATGGGCGAATCGGTGGCTGATCAAAATTAATCATTCGAAAACGCAGACAATCTATTGTACTAAAAAACGTAGCTGCGCCCCGTCTGAGGTTTCAGTGAATGGAGCTCGGGTACCATGGGAAAGCTCTGCTAAGTATCTCGGTGTCACTCTTGATAAGGGAATCACCTGGCAGAAACACACTGAAGCGTTAAAACTCTACCCTATGCTATGTAGAACATAAAAATTAAGTTTGATCAACAAAGTTTGGCCATACAAGATGGTTAGCAGACCAGCGATCACTTACGCAAGTGCGGCTTGGTGTTTTTTCGCCAAAACGCATTTGCGTAGCCTGCAGGTTTTTCAGAACAGAACCTTGCGTACAATCACTAGCGCCCCATGGTATGTTTCCAATGAGACCCTTCACAGAAACCTTGACATCTCTTACCTAAGGGACACATCAAACAACAAGCGCAGCTACGTTATAGTCAAGCGGAATCGCGTAACAACACTTTGTTGCGCGGGTCAGTAGACTACACAGTCGAGCAAGTTCGCAAGCACACAAGGCCGCGACTCGCACTGTGAACAAAATTAAATCGTGCGACTTAAGGTCCAACCAAAATTATAATTTTTCTTCAACAACCAATCCCAAAATTAATTTAAGATCAATTTATAATTGCCGGATACTAATTAGCAATGCCAAGGCACCCCTCAAATTGACGCACCTCTGTTTTCTTTGCTCTCCCTCCTTCCTTCCTTCCTTTTTCCGTTCCCTTCATTCTCCCTGACTTTGTTTGGTATCTGGGCAACCAGACCTGACAGACCTACTGACTTACAAGACTTCAACCAAGAGCAAAGGTTCTACGGACCGCTCTGACAGATAATGACGAATAGCTGAATAGCTAATCTCAAAATATCCTAAAAGATGGCAGTCTTTTTAATTTAGTATGGAGCTATGATCAGTACTAAAAATGTTTGCAGTTTGCTGTGATGCATCGCCACAAGTATATGTATAATTGTAAGCAAAATTAAAAACCTCACAATTTGGATTCGTCTGATTTTGTACATAAACAAAATCAACTTAGCAAGTGATGACAAATTCTCACTCAGCTGAAGTTGGTCTAAAAAGGTCACCTCATTTAAAAGTGCGTCTTGGTAAAAGGAACGTGTAATAAACTGATCAATCTGAAGGGAGGTGATCGTTTCAGACGTTGTGAGTTAAACGAACGAGGCTAATGTGACAAGAGACGTCTGCAGCTGACGTGGTGGTGGTTTAATCAACACTTCCACCGACTACCGAACAGTTGGCCAAACTTTGAGATACCTCTAATTGAGTTTACATAGTTCCTGTCAACTATATATATAGCTGTTCCATATATCTAGGTTTACCTCCACTATAACATAGTAGACGATGATCTTCCTTCTCAGTATAAAATGAAAAATGCATATAACTCGAAATCGGCCAACTTTAGGGTAATTTTGCTTAGAAACATTTTTGGTCAGAAAAAACAAGAACCTTTGGCTTTGTCTGGAATCAAAAAAATATTTTTTTCTTATTTAATAAAAAATGTTTATACAGTTGCACACCGAGCTAGCGCCCCAAAGACACTTGCTTCGTATTAATGTAGATACAACAAACGTAACTATGAAAAAAAATTGTTGCATACTTTTTCCCATGAATTTCCGGTTTTTATTTGTATGGGTAGTAAAAATGCTATGTCAAGCTTCCTTATCGTCAAATAGAGATCCGATAAAGCTCCTTCGCAACCACGTAATTTCATTATTCGTCCGAACCAATCTCGATTTTGAAGTGGTACGAGGTGAGATCGTAAGGTCAAGTTATTTTATATTTTCATTCAATTTCTCGGGTATATTTGCAAGAACAAATTAGGGAGTTTTGGCAATCACTCCGCTCACAAAATCGCTAAGAACATCGTACATATAATCTACATTGATATATAATCTCTAGGGCATACGACGTAACGTGTTTGATCGCAAGGGTCAAGCCAAAATTTCTGTCACAACTATCAAAGTGACATGCATTCATAGGTTCTTCCCAGCAAGTAATTTCTGACTATCAGAGGATCACAGATTCAGTCATCCAAACAAATTAATGATAAGATGTTACCTAGCTAGGCGCTGAAGTGAACTATTCCAGCGTAAATATCCGTTCGGGACTGTCAGAAATTCATTGTCGGGAAGAACCGTATGTTTTGTATAACTTAGCCGGGTTTTTCAGGAAATGTCTAATTTCCGTGAACTATTTTCATTATAATTTCTTGTATGCTATTTCAAATAAACACGATGTCTTGTGTTTTGGTGATTGCAGCAATCCGCTATGGATATCATCTTAATCTTAAGGCACAGCGTTTTATACGTAAATGTTGGCATATTGAAATAAATATTTTCAATTTTTTAATTGCTACTGGTTTATAGAGAGTGTAGAGCTTAAGCCAGACCTGTATCTATACTATACAAGTGTGGCATCCTTGCTCCGCTCCCTGCCACTATTTTATATACCCTAGAGCACCTCTCTGGATACTATGTCGGTCCAATCCATTGACTTTTTATAACTCAAATTTAAATTTAGTGTCCGCATATTCGCAATTAGTAAAATCCTATATTCATAGATTCGCCCGTCCATGTTTTTGCCAAAGTCAAACGGGATCCCTAACGTTTGTAGGTATACAATTGAGACTAGACAAATGCGTAAATACGCGGGAACTACCAAGTCAACCTACCTGACTTGTTCATTATCTCGTCCACGCTTCCCACATGGTACACTTTATCATATTAATTTTCATCAATTTGCTCATTGCGTTCTGCTTTGACAATAGAACCGGATCCAGTCGGGTAGCTTTTGTATTCCTCAAAGACTGGATCTCAATTTTATTAAAGCCAAACTGTGCCCGTTACAGAGCTGGAGTGGGCAGTGCGGAGTGCAGTATCTCATATAAAATTACACTTCAGGGACTATACGATGTGAATATTAATTAACAGTAATGCGTCTGGCTTGCTTGGGTTGATGTTGTTGAGTAGCAGGGAGAGTGAGATGGAAAACCGAAGTAATTACTACTTCAGGGTTGTGTACCACTTAGCCGACTTTCGCAGATGGAAGTATTATACTAGGAATTAGGGCTAGGACTACTTTATTTCAAGTTTTGAGAAGTGATTCAACACCGTCTGTCCATAGTAGTTGTGACATCAGATGTTTGTTAAATTTAGGAATTATCAGTCCACTCGAGATACCTCAAATTCACTACTTTTGAGTCTCTGAAGAAATTCTTATTTATTATATTAATCTTTAGTTTCACAGAAATAATCATCATTACACCTTCCAACATTATGGCTTCGATGCATAGATTTGCGGAAGACACCACTTTACATGCCTAGAATGCCATATCTATCTCTGCGAAAAAGATCTACCTGAAAGTCGTCACAGCCTGAAGACGTAGGAAGATAGTGGAGGTTAATGTTTTTAAAGCTTCACATTGTACCTTGACTGTTAAGGTAAATAAGGGCAATCCGTCTCGTCGGTGGAATTTCCCTCAACAGGCGCTCTCCAAGTCTCCTACATCGCCTGGCGGTCAGTGATCCTTTTTTCACTGATTCTTTCACGGAATCTGTCTCCCTGGGCTCCCTTGCACCATGAGACTGCGTTCTAGAAATGTTAGGTTCTCTCCATTATAACCGCTACCGGTTATCCTAAAGAGGGTTTCCCAGTTCTGCGAAGCTAGTCCAAAACTGGATCAGCAACGTCTCTTTAATGTCTGTAATGTCTCGTTATTCCAATATTTACGCTTTGCATCCACAAGCCCGTTTCTGTAAAAGAAAAAAGAAAAAATAGAACATAAAATGGGGTTACATTTTCTTTAAGGCTCTTGGTCTCAAGTTAATATTCTAACTTGGAACACTTATTTCACATTTCCTAAAATCATTCTTAATTAATTTTTAGTCCTCGGAATCACTTAGTCTTGAAAACAGTTGCAAGTCGTAAACGCAGTGGAGGTGTTCAAACTGCTTGAGTATGCTATTGCATGTTCTTGTTCTTGATTGCTACTTGGAAATCGAGTACTGCTTTATTACGTTCGGTGATCACCGATTCGATTGCGATGAATCTGTCCAAGCGCTAAGACATTTCTAGCGTCATTGATTCAATCCAAGTTCAAGCTGGTTTTAAAGACACCAAAATCTAGTTTCATAGGGTTTTAAAATTTTTGATGACCTTCAAAATTCGAACAATAAAGGGATTCTCTGACAAAGAATGTAAAATTTCTCACTGTGTTTGTTCTTGGGTTATAATAACACAAAATAAAGGCTCGGACTTGATGCTTCCTTGACGATAGTCTATGTCGGCTTCGGACGCACTGGCAACTGGACCGAAGTAGAGAATCGTTCAATCTTTAAGTAGGGGTTCTCACCGGCCACTGTAGACTGAACTGTCCCTTTCGAGGCTACGGTTACTATGGATGAGAATTCTGACGAAATTTTGTTCTGGCGAATACGTCCAAGATCCTTGTCAGAAGAAGGTTGTTACACTATACGTTTTTGACATGGACGATGTTAATTAATTTTATTTCCCTGAAAGTCCTTTATTGAAGTTACTGTTGTTAAATAATGGAAAAGCAGATCATGTCTACTAGGGACGATAAAAGGGAGTCTGAAATATTGTTTGAGGTATCTGGACCAACCGTGAGAGTTTTTAGGTTACGTGTCATGTAATTGATAAACAACGTACCCACATCATCATTAAAAAGTGGTACTGATGAGTTCTGTAGCATTTTTTCCCATTTTGCCGAAAAGTATCTCTATTATGATAATTTTCCCTGTCATATCTTACAGTGATCTGTTCTCGTATACAGGAATTATCCAAGGTGGAATAACTAATAAGTACTCAAAAATTGAAGCAGGTCATAGGAATAAATTAAATCTGTGTGAACGCTCATACAGTGCTGACGACGGCATGCATGTTCTGACGCTGCCAGTGTTAACACTCTCATTGGAAAACGTGTTCGTTTATTCGGACGAATTAGTCACAGCTCATAAGAACGAAATCTCATCAGATTTCACATTCCTAGTAAGAGTAGCCCAAGGGTGAAAAAAGATTTTATCTTCACCATTTGCTGAGAGGAGGACGATGCAGCGTGCCACTTTCTGGGCTTTTGCTACATATATCACAGCCTAGGTGATGAAATATTCGAGGCCATGTAGTTTGATAGTGAAGTTGCATACTCAGCGTCGGGCATTCTGAAAGCTTGGTGGATTAGAGGATATGCATGTGGAATAGAGTGTTGGTAAACTAGGGGTCGGCAAAATGTGCTAAAGGTGGACTCTTGCTTTGCTCCCTCACCACTGCTATTACTACATGGTCCCCTAGCGGGTTATTTTTTTATTGAGGCTTATCAAGAAGCCCTGATGGCGGCCTGAGCTACCTTTCCGAAATAATAATCACCTCTAGTACCTTAGTTATACTAGTATATAAAAAGATTTTTCTCGCTTCGCCCAACGGAGGATTACGGAGTGGCTAAAGAAGAATTTTCTCCATCGCTAGAAGGCGGCAAATGGAATCCAAGTTCTGTTAATCCAGCAGATCGTATAAACCAAACTGAAACGGAAAAAGAACAAAATGAAAGACAAACAGAGAGACACCAATTATCTACATCTGATTCGATCCCGGTAGGGCTGGAATTCGATATTCATTAGAACGGAATTAATTCTTGGTCCGGGAACCTGTGCACCAATTCATGAAGTTGAAGACGTAACCGTCAGTATTCCAGTAAGGTGACAAATTTGATCATTAGCTTGATGTTTTTCTTTTCTGCATCTCCAGTCGTCAAGTTCCAATATGTTGAAAATTCACCATAATAATCGGATACAATACGAACCCCTTCCCACTTCAGTTGGCCCAACTATTGAAATCTTAGTTTTTTTCTTATCAAACACAAATAATAAAAATGTAGCGGGGTGTTATAGGTTTAAAATATTAACAATGAATATTTTGATAATATATATTAGAAAACACTGTGCCCCAAAGAATTTCAGCCTTAATAAAAAATAAAGGTGATGTTACCCAATGGTAATGTATCAATTATTGTTGCTTTGTTAACTTCGCGCATTTATTCGCACGTTGTTTATTTGTTCAGATGTTCTATTAGTTATAGGTCTAAGTGATTTCAAATATGTATTTTTTACGACTAGAGTGCATCTAAAATGTTTTTGAGAAAATAAATTCTTTTAGAAGTAAATAGTTTCGTCATGTTTAGTTTATAAAGGCATATTTTGGTTCAAATCTTGAAGTGGGCCAACTGAAGCGGGAAGGGGCTCGTAGATTGATACAAGTGAAGTGAAAGGTACGTGAGTCCGTGGTAGGCTTTGAGGCGATCTCAATGAATGTTATCAACGATCGAGTAATGCTGTGCTGTGAATAGGCTGGGCCAGGTACTCTTGATGATCAATTTGTAATTATTTAGTGGTAAATACTTCTTTTGATACACCTTAATTATTTAATGATAAATATTTTTGCTCCCTGTTTGATACTTGATTGTTAACTCAGATAGTTATAATTAACTACTTTGCTCCTGCGCTAGTTATTGATAAGAATAATTGACTATGTTACTGATTCTTATAATCGATTATATGATTGACATTTTGAGCCCGTGGTTATGTATAATTAGGTAATTAGTTGATATGCATATGCATGTTTGATTATTGTGCCTAGCGTTATAATTGTTTGATGGTTAATTGCTAGGCCCATGATATATACATCTCCCGTTTACCCATTTAATAAAATTGGTATATCACTTTTCCTAATTTAATTGCATTGAGTCTTAGCTGTTTAATTGAGTTGATATAAATATTTAAGAATTTAACCCATGGATAATTTGGTGACATATTATCTTATGTGTTTTGGTGTATATGTATGGCGTATATTGTTCTTACATAGTTTGTAATTTGTTTTTAGTCTTGAAAAATATTAGGGTGGTTCCATCCTCTCCTATAAGCAGTTGTATCCTTGTACTGTCTAGTACATTCAGTATTAGTCCACTTGGTTACTTGGGTTTTGGAACAATTTACTCCGAGCCCTTTTGAATAACTTTGGAATAATGGTAACAGATAAGTTTGGTATTGAGCAATACTAGATTGTACATGGCAACACATCCCCAGGTCAGAAGAACTTTCAGATATGGATGCCAGGAATTGAGTCCACCCTGTATGGGTGCAAATTGGTAATCAATTTCGACTATGAGCAATACTGTTCAAATATGTCTCTATAGAAATATTTTGAACCAACTGCCTGTGCCGCTTCTAAATGGGCAATATTTTCCCAGCCGGGCTATGCTTTTTAACATCTCCGACCTATTTTCATGTAGTGCTGACAGATTGCCAAATTATGGTGATCCAATGTAAGGTATCTAAGCTGTCGTGATGCGTACAGTCTCTTGCCTTATCCTTGCCAGATGTTGTAATCCTTCTTATGAGAATTTTGTTAGGATAACCGGTACAAAAGTGTGACTTGTTTGTTCAACTGTTAGTTATTACAAAAAGTTGTTTTTTCCATTCAGTACAGATAGACATGATATTAAAAATAATCGCTCTTTGATGCTTATTTTAACTGCTGGTACACGGACAAGTTGTTGATACTGTAAAAAAGAAGCACTTAGCATTACATTGATGTATGTGGAACGGCATACACTATCGACACGCATCCGATCGGTGATAGGCGCTCTGTATACGTCGTGTACCTAATTGTATACATTTTGATATTCATGTACATGTTATCGGAAATTTGTATAATCCGGTATTCTATAGAATACCCAGCTAATGTATAGAATAGCTAAAACGTGTAGGTAATGTATGAAATATTATTTGTTTTATACTTTGTCTAGGTATTCTATACAATACCGAATGCGCAGTCGATCAGGTATGTATAAGACGAGAGCAAGAAACAGGTTGTACATACCGGCAGGCAGGCAATAAACGTGTTGCGTTCTTGTCAGCCAAGAAAATTACATTATGTTACTCTTAGCCAGAATAATTTTTAGTTTCACATTAATTTTATTGCTATTTTACTGTAGTAATAGAAAGGTGCTTTTTGTACCCTTTTCATAAGGCTTATTTTTAAGGAGCATTTTAATTGTTGATTTTGATAAAGTTGATTCCAAATAATATAACTTGTTTCATTTGCCCGTCATTTTATAGGTATGTTGGTTAACACTGATAAATTTAGCCCAAGATCCATTTATTTTACACATTGCAGGTGGAACAGTAGATACTATATACAATCCCTAGGAATTGTATTCATTAGCCCATGTAAAGTATGTAATGGATAATAATATCCATAATATTTCATACATTGCCTGGGCAACCGAGGTATTCTATACATTGCCTAGGTTTTTTATAGAATACTTGAATTGTACAGATTACCGTAATGTAAACAATGTAGCCAAAGTTGTCACGTGCCAAAATCACGTAACCTTTTTTTTACTATTTATCACTTATCCGTAATTTGAATTTCTCTTCATTGATAATAGAGTGCCCATTCCTAGGCCAAACCCTATTCAATGATTTTCTTTTGGCAAATTTAATAGTTCATTGATTGTATAATTTCACTCGTATTATATCTTTCTTTCTCAGCGATTCAATACGGTGTTGAGGATCAGCAAAAAACTCTGTAGTTTTTGTCCGTTAGCTGGCTTCCTATAAAACATATCTTCTTCAAGGCCACTCAAGATTCCTTCTTCTAGAACGTTACGTATTCTGCGTGATTCGCTTTTCTGTTTCCGTTGAGGTCGTGGTGCAGGGGTCGTTTCGTCGTTGTCCGGACTCTGGGATATTAGGCCCCAAGCGCCCATTCATGGACTAGCACCCTTTTCTTTTTGTTGTGTAACTTAAGTTTAGTTATTTTGATACGTCTTCCATTTTTTTAATGGGATTTTGACCCTCAGAGGTAGTTTCTTTTTTTATATACCTTCGGACCGTGTGCCTTAATGTGTGACCTGATGACGTTCGTTCAATATCTGCTTTC